CTGCTGGAAAGCAGCTCTGCCGAGAAGGACCTGGGAGTGCTGGTGGACAACAAGTTGAGCATGAGCCAGCAATGTGCCCTTGTGGCCAAGAAGGCCAATGGTATCCTCGGGTGCATGAGGAATAGTGTTGCAGCAGGTGGAGGGAGGTGATCCTGCCCCTCTACTCAGCCCTGGTGAGGCCTCATCTGGAGTACTGTGTCCAGTTCTGGGCTCCCTAGTACAAGAGAGATGTGGTGCTACTGGAGCGAGTGCAGCGGAGGGCTACTAAGATGATTAGGGGACTGGAACATCTCTCCTATGAAGAAAGGCTGAGAGATTTGGGACTGTGCAGCCTGGAGAAGAGAAGACTGAGGGGGGATCTGATCCATGTGTATAAGTATCTGAAGGGACGGTATCAAGAGGATGAGGTCAGACTCTTCTCCGTGGTGCCCAGCGACAGGACAAGAGGCAGCGGGCACAAACTGGAACACAGGCAGTTCCATCTGAACCTGAGGAAAAACTTCTTTCCTGTGAGGGTGACGGAGCACTGGAAGAGGTTGCCCAGAGAGGTAGTGGAGTCTCCTTCCCTGGCGAAATTCAAAACCCACCTGGACACAATCCTGAGAAATATGCTCTAGAGGACCCTGCTAGAGCAGGGGATTTGAACTAGATGATCTCTAGTCCTTTCCAACCTCAACCATTCTGTGATTCTGTAAAATTTTGCAATTAAATTTTTCATTCCAAGATAATATCAAAATGGAAGTGGGAAAAAGACTCTGCATATCCTGTGAGTAGACAAATGGTTCATTTCCTGGTGATCTCAAATGCCTCAAAATACACCGAAAACAACAATACTTGTCATAGAGGTAAAGAGAAGGTTCTGCTCCTATCAGCATTACTGATGTCTTCAACTGTGTCTTCACTTTAGCGGCCACAGCTCATACAGACATTTCTCTTTCAGTTTTAATTAGCTGTCTTGGATCTTGTTAGCAGTGTAGCTGCAACAGTGGATAGATCTTGTGATCCTTTTTTCCATTTCTTTAAATTCAGTTATTCTAGATAACTCTTATAATTGGTTATTCAGGTGCTAATGACTTCCTAGGTTATAGTAGTATATAAAAAAGTAAATGTTAGCATCAAAGACCTGTTTGAAAATTATCTCAACATCATGAAACTCAGTGCAGGCTAACCATCTGAAGTTAACATCTGGCTATTTGGGTGGGCTTCCCAAATTTGCACCCTTACAGCTAATGCTGCTAACACTGGCTTAAAGGTATGTCTGTAAAAAGAATGAAATTGTGGTGGAGGACTAGCCTTTGGATTGATTGCCATTAAAATCTTATCACAGTATGATATGTCAAATACTTTAGAGATTATAAGGATCACCATTAGTATTAGAACACAGCACTGAAAGTTCTGTAACCCTTCTATACAAAAATAAATGCCCCTTTGATTCCCATGTATATGGTTGGAGAGTTTCCAATGTATTGCCCATCATCCATCAAACAGCCACTAAATAATGCTGTCTTTCACTCCTTACAGGTCTGTTTGAGATCTGAAGTAGGGATTTAGCATTGAAAAACTGCATCTGCTCAGCAGCATCCTGAAGTGATGATTGGTATTCTGTCATGAGGGCAAACTTACTGTTCTCATAGAGCCATACAGTATCCATTTTCAGATCTTTTCAATAATCTTAGGAAAATTAGTTGACAATAAATTGCAGAGTTGGGTCCTGTTGTTCTGTTTAGTACAAACTTCCTCTTTCAAAGACTTTATCTATTCTTATTTAACTTTTACAAATAGATATATATTAAAGCAAAATGCATATTCTCCCATTATAAAAGTTAATGATTACTACTATTAATCTGCAAATTAGTCTTCCAAAAAATGTCAGGAATGTCTGTATTTTATACTTAAATGAGAAGAAGCCATAAAAACTGTGCTGTTCATGCACTTGGTTTTAGATTAGATGTGTTTTCCTTTCTTTTTTAATATCTTGATTGTGACTGATGATATCTATCGGTCTTGTATTCAAATATATTCTTATCTATGGTTTACTTGCTTTTTAGTTGTTACCTTTTTTTCTGTCAAGAAAGATATGCTATGAGCCTTAATTTTAATATCCAGAATTTAAAGATATTTTGATGATATGCTTAGCATATATAGTGTAACTGGGAGAGAAAAATATGCCTGCCATAGGACATCTGTATAACCAAAATTTTCAATTTGGAACTTATGGAATTTCTTCCTTTTAAGCATTTCTAAGTATAGTTCCCATTAGCGCATCTTGTCACAACAGATAGTAGGGAACTGAACAAAATGAGACATCAGGTTAAAGCAAAATAATGTTGAAAACATTGTCAGGCCCGTAATTATGCAAACCTTGCCCTTAATACTGCATTTATTTCTTGTCATGCTCTATCACAAACAGTTTAATAGAAGCTTAATATAGAGAAAATTAACAAAAAGCATAGTCACATTTGGAAGGCTTCTGTGTGAAGGCAGCTTAAAGAAGTTATAGCTAGTGGACAAATACTAGTTTGGATTTAAGATACATCAAAAATGGAAGTTAGTCAATACTTTTGACATAGCATCAGAATAGCAAAATGTATCCTCATTAGAATAGTTTATTATTAAATCTAATGTTTATTGAGAAGTAGAGAATTTCTTATTTGCTCCTGTGCCTCTCATTTGCCTGCTGTGTAAGAGCACTTGCCTCCACTGGGTGGAGAGAAAATAGGAGAGTCTTGGAAAGCAACTGGCTTCTGCTTTTATTCTTAGGATTATGACTGTTCATTGCCTGCTTCTGCTTAATTGTTACTACATGGGACAATGAACCTTCTTTAGTGAAATGTTAATTCATTGTATGTACTGGGAAACAAAAAAACAGGACTGAGTTGTCACACTCAGACCTGAAAGTCTTGTTGATTATGGACAATAAAATAATTACTTTTTAACCTTAATTTAGACAATTCATATTATTACAGTTATTTTGACTTCTTGTGACTTAATGCATATATTCCTTTTCCCAATTATTTTGTAATGAGAATACCCAAATTAATAATATGAGGTACCTAATCTACTGTTTCTTATTTACTGTAGATATTTAAACTTTCCTCACATTTAGAATTCCAATTTTTCTTCTGTAAATGAAAGTTGTCTCATGGATTGCTGACATCAGTTTGTCTTAGTTCATTTTCATTGAGCATCAAAAGATCTCCCTTTGGAGAGAAGATGCTAGCAATTTTGTTCTTGATGTGGTGCAGCTAACTCTGGCTGTTTTGTGGCTGTTGGCCACAAAATTCTATGATTTGATAAAATTGCCACTACATGTTCCAAGTACCTATTACTTTATGGTATTAGTATGTATTGTGGTTCAATCATTTTACTGTATGCTATTACTGGCTACTTTATGCCATTACTAGTTATATAATACAAATCTCTTGATCTCCTCTGTCTAAATTTCCTCTCATTCTGTTCTAAGCCCAAGCAGCAGTGTTTGATATGGAAGAAATTACTTTTCTATGATTACAATTTCTAAATTTGAGGTTATATTAGTCTCTGTTATTCCTGTGCCGTGCTTAGGTAGCAAGAAGAAGAATGGCTGATACCCAGAAAATCTGCATAAATAATGATCCATCAGCTTAGCTTATTACTTCTATACAATTCTTTAAAAGCTTTATTACATATGGATACACAGCAAATTTTTGTGGATATTGTTTCTGTGACCATCCCAAATGTTATTTCAGCAGGGCACAGTAGAACTAGTGACTCCTTTCAGTGTCTAAGGTTCTCTACAGTTTCCAGGAGAGGAAGGAGATGGGTTCTTGTTGCATATGATTACATTATCAAAGTGAGATGTAGGTTTTCAGTGTTACTGTAAGAAGTTAATAGGCAGTTATAGGCAGATAAGTACACACAGAATGTGGACTTCTGTTCTCTTACAGTAGAAATAGTGAAGCTTGGTTGAGTTTTAGTTACAAGGAAGATACTGAATAAAATACTCATGACTGAAATGACAGATGAATGAAATTACTGGGATTTCCTCCATTCTTACATTCTAGAGTTGATTATGTGTTTCTGAAATAGAGCAGTAGCTAAGATTTCTGAAACATGGTTTAGCACACTTAAATGAACAACCATGTTAAATAACAGCTACTTTAGCTACTTAAGCTAAAAAGAACAGTAGATTCAAGGTAAAATAATGGTGTTGATAAGTTTCATATTTTTGCAACTCTTGCTATAGAAGAGTTTTACCCCACACAACTCACAAGATGAATCCTTTTAGTGTGGGGGTTTATCTAGGGCAACTTGAAACACCAGCCTGCACTAGTGATGAGTAACAGTTAATTACTTCTTCAGTTTATCTCACAAATAGCCTATATTGGCTTACGGGTACTGCTGTTCACCTTCACAAGCTATTTTGCAGTGGATATGGGAATGAGCTCACAAGAACATCCCTTTTCCCCACTTTTACACCTTGCACTAGAGGTAAGTGTGGTTTTTGGGAATAAGGGTGGGATGTCATGAGATAAAAGTGATGTGGGCTTCTTAAAATTTTCCGCAAACATCAATAAAGGCATGTATCTGGGGACGGGCAAAGATTCAGCTGAATTCTTATTTTTTGCCCAAAGAGGTTACCCAGTCCTAAATTGACATGCTTTCTTTGAACTGGGAGTCAGAAATCCCTTTTCTCTTCTGTTTTTCTGCTGCAGAAATTCCCAACATTCCCATTATGTGGGCTCCAGAGAGGGGTAAGCAACATCTTCAATCCCACCCAATCATTTCCAAACTAATTCTTTGCTAGTATTTTTTTGCTTTTTTTTAATCATCTCAGAAACAGTTTCCAAACACATTTTTCCCATTTGTTTGATTTTCTTGTGGATTCTCATATTTTTGTTTTATAGGAAGGTCCCCTGGCTTCCCCAAGTGCTAGGGTCAGACTCATCTGCTGTTTCCATTTGTGTGCTATTCTCTTGTGGATTTTCATGGTTCACTCTATTGATCTTAATGATATTACCAGAGGGTGAGCATCTAGATTCTCGGGACTGTTTCATTCTTGGTATCCTCAGTTATTGAAAAAGCACTGTCACCCTGCTGGCCTGTCAATCTGTTAACAGGCTTATGTTTTCTCCTTGCTGACAGTTGCATCTGATTATTCATGGGCATTGGTCTTCTGCTACCTTGCCTGTCTGAGGACTGCCTGGCATTCATTACTCTCTGTTCCCTCTACGTGCTGCCTGTTTGGCATTGTCCTCTTGAAATCTTGGCCCTTTGCCTGATTGTCTGGCATTCCCTCTTGACCAGCTAATTGCTTGATATTGACTACCTACTGCTCTGTCCATCTGCTGAATGGCATGTATTGCCTCCTTTTTGCCCTTTGTATCTGATTACACATGGGCACTGGCCTTCCACTGCCATGTCTCCCACTTTGAGTGCCCGACATCACCTACCCGCTAAGTGCATCTGCTTACTTCGTGGAACTATTCTTCTGCTGCTTGGTGCACCTGCTGACTGTTTGGTACTGCTTTATCGACTTGCTGAATGTCTGGCATTTCCCTCCTGCCTTTTCACCTGCTTCTTGGTTATACTGTCCCCTTGCTGCTCTTTGAGTCTGCTTACTCACTGATATTTGCCCTTTTGCTGTCCTGTCCACTTGCTGTTATGCCTGGCATTTCTATCATACTGCCCACCTGCCCAGAGATTATTTCTAAATATGCTCCAGTTTGAAAAATTAAGAAGAAACGTAAGGAATGGGGAAAAGCTATTATCTGGCTCCTTCGTGATCTGATTCAACATACCAGCACAAAAATTGATCTCAGTATCCAGCTTTTCACAGAACCACTCAATCCCTTTTTCCTCCTTACCAAAAAAGGGTCGTGAATCCTGAAAGGGTCTTTGCTTCCATTACCTCATTTGATAGGTGTATTACTGTTCAGTAATATTGTATTCAGTATTAAATTCAGTAGCAATTCACAACTAAGACACATTGCTAAAATTACCTACAATAATTCTCACAGAATCCATGGAAAGTAGGTTAAGGGCTGCATGTAGAGCTATGCCCGGTAAACACAGTGGATGAAATGAACTATAAATAAGAAATTTTACAGATTTCTTACTTAAAATACCAAGTTACAGCTAACCCAGAAAAGACATTGAATGGGTATAAGACTGCCAGACCGCAGTGTGTCCTAATTGTTGTTTCCCAGTCTATTGAGCCCTCTGTACTGCGAGAATGTTCAGCTGTCAGTTTAGAGCAGCTTTTTGACACTTTTTCACAAATTAAAAACCAAGCTTTGACTACATGTGTAATGTCCACGGTAAGGGAAAAAAATCATTGTCAGAGCTTAGAATAGAAAGGACAACTTCTTGTTTCTTTTCTTTGAATTCAAATCACTTGGCTTCCCTTTTCCTAGCTCTTCCACAGCTTCTAGCTTATTCTGAGTGTTTATAGTTTCTAATTATGCTTTTGAATCCATTACCAGCCAAGAACCAGAGTGAATATTCTGTCATGATGAACCCATTAATTCCATAATAGAGTCTTCTTACAGTTAAAATAATTGTAATATTCTTTTAACTTCAACTTGTAATCTCTCCAGATGTATTATTGCTAGTGTTGTTATCTTCAGGGACATCCTAAATATGCTAAATTATGTCTAACCACTACCTTAAAGGCAAGTCAGCATTCCTTAAGTCAGTAGCCTGTGAAAGACTAGCTATGGAATCTAAGAGAGACCCTATGAGATAGCCGCTTGCTCCTGACACCAACTTCCCACTGTATGGAATGGTTCCCAGTCTGGCAGACTATGTTCCAAATAAAAGCTAACAGGAACCTTCTTCCAGGTTGCACATGAGCCTGTAGATATCTTGGTATACTTGTATTCTGCTCTGAGGAATGAATGAACACTAACATGCACCTTTACTCCCTGGACTCTCCTGTCCTCTCTCAGCCTTTCCAACCCTACCTTGCTTCTCCAAACATATTTTTTTCACAACCTTGCAAGCTCTTAAAGATAGTAGACTGAATCTCTCACTTCCCACCAACCTCACACTATTTGAGGATTCTGGTAACAAGAACAGATCTGAATGGCAATTCTTTTCTCTGAGACTTAACTCTCCATTTGCTTTGCCTGTTTTGCTGCTTCCATAGAGTATTGTCTGAGAACTGACATCCAATGAGGATGCTAGAGGAGGAGGAATATTTACTCTAGCATTATAGGGCTGCTGGACACATCTAGAACTCATTTCTTATCCCAACAATCAGAAAGCATTTTTTGGTGTAGCATTTTAATTTTTTTCTCTTAGAAAATGGCTTTTTTTTCAAATAATGTTCAAGTTGTATAGACATTAAGCTAAACAAAGTGTAGAAGAACATGAGAAAACAGCTGATTGAAAATAAGCCCACTATGCATTTTCTTGGTTGAAAATTATAGTTACTGGAAAATTGATGCAGTGCTATCCAGGCAGCTTTAGTGTAAGATATCTGGGTAAATCAGTTTTGTATCTGGAGTGGCCAAGTTATGGTACAAATATTTCAATCAGTAGAAAAAGTCTGTTTTAAGTTGAAAGAATATGCAATAGATTTTATTTATAAATGAGTCACAGTTGGTTAAAGGAGCAATGAAAAAGTTGCACACAAAGCCCTGGAAAGAACATCATATCTATCACATTTTGAAACAAAGTAATTCAACATTATTTTGTCATTTTGGTTTTTGTTAAGGTATTTTTTAGTCTATCTTGTGCACTTTTCAACAAAAAGAGGTTTAATATTGATTTCTGGAACACTTATGAAGAGTTACAAGCCTTTCCAGCATGTAAAGTTTCCCTTTCTAGGATCACTAAATTTCCTATTATCAGCCTAATTGTATCTCAGTTTTATTTCCTCTTCCTGGACTCTTTTCCTTCCTTATTATCTCTGATAGTTGAAAACTTTTTACATTTCTAGTATTAGTCATCTGAACTAAATCCTCCAAACTATTTGTCGGGACAGTGTTTTTCATATATCCTCTTCTCACTTCAATGCAGAATTTAAATTTCATTAAAAATTTTCCAGTTCCTTCAGTCGCTTTCATTATTCTCTGTTTTTTCTAGTAAAAGTATCCCTTGTGATAATATTCAGCATAATAGTGTCTGAGCAGCTAATTTCTTCTGTTGTTTCTGAAAAAAATAAATTCCTGACTAATACACATCTTTTGCTCACAGAAAGATAAGATTTAAACATGATCATTTTGTTACCCCTTGATTTCCAGAAAGTGTTCCACCATCCAGAATTGTTCCCCACAGTACATTTTTCTGTTGTTTCGTCCAGCCAGGTTTTAGAATTTCAATTTGGTGGAGTTTCTTTCACTTCACTTGGGAGATTGATAAGGCCAAATGGATTTCATGGTTGGGAAATTTTATCTGAGACTACCCCTGAATTTTTACTTAATTTAATCTTTTACTACTTTCATATTACATTATAGCAACACTAAATAATCTTTTGCACTCTTGCTGTTTGCTTTCATAAAATATTTGTAGACTGTAATTAGCCTTTTTCTTTAATTTTTTTTCATATGAACCCAAAATTATAAAATAAGCTTTCATTGGGACTGTATTGCTGTATTGCTTAATGCCATTCGATATGTGCGTCTTCTGGGAGATGACCAGTTATTTCTTTCAGAAAAAATACTATTTATTTATCCAGTGGTATGCAGAACTGACAGCCTAAAAACTAATGTCTCTCTAAAATTCTTCTACGCTTCATGCAAGTTTTACTAATTTCTACTGTTGTTCAGCATTGGTGTTTCCTGGAATGAGAAAGACAAAGACATGCAGTTCCTTTGAATTCCTTTGTCTCCTAGTAATGGTGTTTCCTGCATCATCTTAATGAAAAGCAGATATTAAATCACTTTCATTCTCTGCAGGAAAGAGGTAGTCTGTAACAGTAGTTTTCTTTTGACTTTTTAGGCATAAGAAAGATAGATTTACTAACCTGACTGGAACTTCGGGGCATTTTTTTTTCAATTAATAGCTCGCCATGTTTTTAAGACAGCCTATTATTTTCCCCAGAAATATTTTATATCTGTCTTTGTTTCATTTTCTACTTTTTTTTTTAAAGGATTTTATTTAGCTCTGTTTAATCAGACACAACAATATTGGGCAACTAAACTTAGGTGCTTAAGATATCTCTGTTATTCTAAATTACTGTGTCTTTCATCCATATACATTATATGGAAATACTGCAGTTTAACTTTTTTCTTAAGTTAGTCTGTCTGTTTAGACTTAGGATTTTCATAGGTGCTTCTCTAAATGTGAACCACATTGCTGTAATAGTAAGCTGCTTAGCATTTATTGCAGGAATCCAGATTTATCTATATTTTAAACATACGGAGGAAGTTTCACACTTAATGAACTGTATTAAAAAAAAAATTGCTGCAAAATTTATGGTCTACCATTTCAAGCACTGCAAGCACTGCAGAAGTTAGGTCCAGATTGTCTCAGAAAGTGTGCTGGCGAAGGAGGGGTGATGTGCTTATATATGTAGTAACTATATTGCTGTAACTATCTTAGTGAAAAGTTGCCTACATTAAAAGAACAGGTTTCAAAGGTTTCAAAGTTAAGAACTGAGCAGTTAGGAGGTAAAAGGAGAGAATTTGTCTGTACAAAACAAAGTTGCATTAATATGAAAGTGTATGAAAGACTGTTACAGCTAGTAATGTTATTAAATGATTGAACTGGTTTTGCCTAGTATATGAAAGATACTGTAGCATATTCT